AAATTTAGATAGCCTAGATGATAAGAAAAAATAAATAAGTAGTGTTATTTAATTTGATTGAATGTTTAAGAAAGAAAATCAAAGAACTTTCGTCAATTTATTTTCATGCAAAAATACAGAGAAATATCAAAAAATAATATTATTGTTTGAAAATTTTTATGTTCGTTCGCTCGCGAATGTTTAATTTTTTTAATTAACAGGCACATGTCTATTTTTTTAAAATAAGAAATTGCAATTGAAGAACATAAATAAAAACAAATAATAAAAATTAGTATAAGTGTTTAAATGGTACAGAAAAAGTGAAGTTTAAGGGTTAAAATGGAACAAGGCTAAGTTGGAGTGCCAAAATGAAAAAATGAGGGCAAGTTTGAGGGGCTGTATATGTGTTGGCCTTCCCTATATTCTAATATTGACAGCTATATCATACTATTCATTAGCCTTATTCCATTGATCATCCATTATTGTCTTTAGACCGTTGGATAATTTATCTTTGTGAATTTGAGATATAAATCTAGTTTTCCTCTATCATAGTGAAAAGAGAATAATATACATCTCTAAGAGTAAATATTTCTTCCTATATTTTATTAATGTGCTGAATTTTATTCTTTAAATTTTTGTTAGTTTCTGGCTCCTAGTTTTATATTACAATAGTTTGTTGAATTTTGAGGGATACACATATAACGAGAAAAATATATTCAAGGACATTATCTTTGACACGCCTCAAGCTATAAGAATTTCCTACAATTGTTCGACGTAAAAAAAAAATCGTAAGATTTCCAACCTGGAGTAGCCATTGATGCAGGTTGTCCCGGAAAGAAATCCGATGATGTTTGCCGCACTGTTGTCCATCAACTTTCTTGTCACTAGGTCCTTTCTTAAAAATAATTAGAGTGTGATACAAATGGTTCATATAGTGTTTGTGTTTGTATAAAGCGAGAGAAAAGTGTATATACAAATACAAATAAATATATTTTCGTCATATACACTTATAATTATACAAATACAGATCTTATTATACAAATTACAATGTATAAATGAATTTATACAAAATTGAACAATTTGTATAAAATTGGATGTATCAAGTGAATTATACAAATCAAAAGCTCCATAGCAAACATAAAATTTGCTATGGAGCGCAATTATGCAAACTATATTTATAACATACAAATATGATTTTTATGTTTGCTATATGTGAAAGTTGTTTATTATTAAAATTATTGAGATTAAGCGGGTCAAGACCCAACCCCCTTTTAAGCCCATTTGAGCCCAAAGTAAATTTGGGCGGGTCAGAACCTAACCCAATTTCTATTTTTACCCATTTTAATATGGAAAAATCACCCCACATATACATTTAAGAGACAATATTACGGATTTTAAAACTTTTTTTAAAATATTCTTGCTTATAACAGTTTAATTACGGGTTATAACAGATCACATTTTATTTTAAAATCAATTAAATTTTTACTTTATAAATAAATAGTATTTTATGATTTTTTATTTATTATTAAATGATATAAATAAATAATCTACCATAATTATCTCTTACACATTTATAGGAAATTTACCTTGATTCTTGTTCCTTTTTTACTTTTACACGTTAAACCCACACCCCTAATGTCACCACGCCTCTTCTAGTCAATAACCCACCACCTCCACGCCTCTTCTAGTCAGTTGCTCACCATCCCCACGTTCAAAAAGTAAAAAAATTCGTTGTAACAATTACCCATTCCTCTTTCACCTCATCAATCATCTTCTATTCAAACTGTTTCTATATCTCAATATCACCTCCTAAATAAGAAAATATTCAATCTACAATCAGAAATAAATGGCGATTTCACAATACTAAGAATCAAGTTTTCAAGATTTTCGTTAAAACATGTCGAAGAAATCAGAGTATATTCCTAGAAAGAGTCCCAGATTAGTAGAGCGAGTTCTACGGTTGGAATAGAGCCTCTGACGTTTAACATATTGACTCAAACGACACCGCCTAACAAGAATGCAACTCTGGTGAAAAAAGTTGGTACTTCTCAAAATAAAAAGCAGATTACCGGAAACGAGAAGAAAACTCAAGCAAAAAAAAATAAAGTCCTTCAAATTAGAAAGGACAAAAGAGGAAGGGGAAAATGGTGGAACCCCCTTCTGATACGGACTCAGATTTTGTAAGAGAGAAAAATATAAAAAAAAAATCAAAAAATCAACAAATGTAGAAACGGGTCAATCATCAAAACCCTCCAAAAGAAGAGCAACAATGAAGGAGGCTTCGGAAATCCCAATATCAAAAAAGGGCAAAAAATAGTTAGGGTAAATATTTTATATAATTTATTTTCCAATTATTAAATTTAGTAGAATTTTTGTTATAACAGTTTATTTATGCATATTATTTGTGGCATGAATTTTGTTTTAATGTTTGACATGAAATTGTTGTGACATAAGCATACATATGTATGCTTATCAAAAAAGGGCAAAAAATAGTTAGGGTAAATATTTTATATAATTTATTTTCCAATTATTAAATTTAGTAGATTTTTTGTTATAATAGTAGTTTATTTATGCATATTATTTGTGGCCTGAATTTTGTTTTAATGTTTGACATGAAATTGTTGTGACATAAGCATACATATGTATAGTTACTATCATGGAATTGATATTTATTTCGTTATTATTTTTATCAAAAAAGATATGAAGCATGTTTAAGATTTGTATGAATCTGACTTATTATTGGTTTATGAATTCTCGTATGCAATATGTTTAACATTTGTATGAAGCTTATTTAATTTTGGTATGAACATGATATACCTTTTAGCAGGAAAGTTATCATTCAAAATCTCTCATTATGTCTATGAATGTGGAATGAAACATGAATAATATTGGTATGAAAACGTGCCTCAATAAGAGTTAAGTTCAAAATATGTATTTCTATCTTTTAGTGATTTCATCATAAAAAATAATTCATTTTATTTCTTAAAATTATTTTTCTTTCATTTTTGTTTCAGTGATTGTGGTATGTACACATGTTTATTTGTTGAATACATCAACAATGAAATTTTTAATATGGGTTCTGATGTGAAACAAGAAGATAAAAATAAAATAGAAATAAAAAAAGCTAGATAAAAGAGATAGACACAATAAAATTCAAGTAACTAAGAGATGTAATGGTGAAACTAACAAAAAACACCACTTAATTGAAAAGCACTGGTCTATTAGAATCCTCAAGAAAGTAATAATCTTACTTGCAAAGTCTACGACAAAATGTTGAAGTTCAACAAAGGGCTTCCAAACTTTCACAAGAGGCATAATATGTCCAACTCTTATGAAACCCTAATATCTACTATTTATACTAAAAACTAAAATAGTGAAGAAAGACTCAATTGCCCTTCATTAAAATTACAAGGTAATTAAAATGGTAGAGCACTTAATATATTAAATATCTTCAAATCTTCCATGTTGGAGCCTTCCAAAGGTTCCATCTTCATCCATAAAGCTTGCAATGCTTGAAGATCCTTAGCTTGACTCCTTGTGAAAGGCCTCCTTGAGGTAGTGCCACTTTGATCTACATCACACTCCCCTTCTTCAAAAGAATTCGTCCTCGAATTCGCCACACCTACATCAAAAAGAAATAAATCACTAACATTGAAAACATTATGGACTAAATACTCACTTGGTAAGTCTACTTTGTAAGCATTATCCCCAATCTTCTCAAGCACTTGAAAAGGTCCATATCCTCTTGGCATAAGTTTGCTCTTCCTTTTGCTTGGAAATCTTTCCTTCCTAAAATGAACCCATACCCAATCACCAAGTGCAAAGGTGACTTGATTTCGTCCCTTGTTGGCTCTTTTGGTTGCATCATTGTTGGCCTTCTCATGGATGTTCTTCATAGCTTTTGCCTTAGATTTTGCATCTATACTCACAATAACATCTTTGGGTAAAGGAGTTAAATCTAATGGAGTCAAGGGATTAAAGCCATAAACACACTCAAAAGGGGTTATGCCAATAGATCTATGAATAGTTCTATTATATGCAAACTCAATTAATGACAATTGATCCTCCCAAGAAGTTAACTTCCCTTTAACCATAGCCCTAATCATTTTACCTAAGGTTCTATTAACCACTTCGATTTGACCATGCGTTTGGGGATGACAAGAAGTAGAAAATAGTAACTTAGTTCCCAAATTTCCCCACAAACACCTCTAAAAATGACTTAGAAACTTTGAATCTCTATCACTAACAATTGTTTGGGGAACACCATGCAATTTCATCACATTATGAACAAATAAGGTAGAAACATGAGATGCATCATCACTTTTATGACAAGCAATAAAGTGAGTCATTTTAGAAAATCTATCCACAACAACAAAGATGCTATCCTTACCCTTCTTAGTCCTCGGGAGACCAACAACATAGTCCATGGAAATATCTAGCCAAGGGCCACTAGGAATAGGCAAAGGGGTGTACAACCCATGGGGTTGGGTACAAGATTTAGCATGCTTACAATTCAAACACCTAGCACAAATTCTTTCCACATCTCTTATCATCTTAGGCCAAAAGAAATGTTCACTATGAATAGCTAAGGTTTTTGACACTCCAAAATGATCCATCAAACCTCCATTGTGTGCCTCTTTCATTAACAACTCTCTCCATGAGGACATAGGTACACAAAGCTTTCCATTCCTAAAAAAATAGCCCTCCTTCAACTCAAACCTAGGAGTTCTAGCTTCATTACCCTTCTTAACAACTTGTACACACCTATTCAAGCTCACTTGACACTCCCCAAAGACTTTTTCAAAATCATCATCATTAGAATATAACTCCTTCAAACTCTCAAAACCCATCAATCTAGAAGTCAAGGTATTCATCAAAGCATATCTTCTAGATAAAGCATCCGCCACAATATTCTCTTTGCCTTGCTTATAATTAATCACATAAGGAAAATACTCAATAAATTCTATCCATTTGGCATGCCTTCTATTAAGCTTATTTTGAACCCTAATATGCTTCAAAGCCTAATAATCGGTTCTAATCACTAACTCCTTATGCCACAAATATTGTTGCCAATTCGCTAAGGCTCTCACTATGGCATAAAGTTCCTTATCATAGGTAGAATATTGCAATGGAGCTCCTCTTAACTTCTCACTAAAGTAAGCTATGGGTTTCCCTTCTTGCATCAAGACCACACCAATGCCTACTCCACTAGCATCACACTCAATTTCAAACATCTTCTCAAAATTGGGAAGTTGAAGTAAAGGAGTGGAACTAAGTTTCTCCTTTAAGATTTTAAAGGCTTCCTCTTGTTTTATACCCCAAATGAAAGGCTTTTCCTTTTTTATGACCTCGGTTAGAGGAGCAGCTAGAGAACTAAAATTCCTCACAAACCTCCTATAAAAACTTGCCAATCCATGAAAGCTTCTAACATCACTAATGGACTTGGGGGTTGGCCAACTCCTAATAGCCTCTACCTTCTCATCATCTACCTCAACTCCACTTGAGCTTACAACAAAACCAAGGAAAACAACACGGTCCACACAAAAAGAACACTTTTTAAAATTCACATACAACTTTTCATTTCTCAACACATCAAAAATCAACCTCAAATGCACATGATCATCCAAGCACTTGCTATAAACCAAAATATCACCAAAATAAACCACAACAAAATCATTAATAAACAATTTAAGTACGTGATTCATTAGTCGCATAAAAGTTCTTGGTGCATTGGTTAGCCCAAAAGGCATTACCATCCACTCATATAATCCAAATTTAGTTTTGAAAGCGGTTTTCCATTCATCTCCGAATTTCATTCGAATTTGATGGTATTCACTTCGCAAATCTATTTTAGCGAATAAGGTAGAACCACACAATTCATCTACCATATCATCAAGTCTAGAAATATGATGTCGATATTTTACCGTAATTCTATTAATGACACGACAATTTACACACATCCTCCATGAACCATCCTTCTTGGACACTAGAATCATGGGCACTGCACATGGACTTAAACTTTCTCTTATCAATCCTTTTTCCAAAAGTTCCTCAACTTGTATTTGCAATTCTTTAGTGTCTTGATTGTTGCTCCTATAAGCGGCTTTGTTGGATAGTTGAGAACCCGGTACAAAGTCAATTTGATGTTCTATTCCCCTCAAAGGAGGCATTCTACTAGGCATTTCTTCCGGAAATAGATCTTCATAACCTTGCAACAAAGAAGAAACAACACCTGGCAAAGATAAAGATGTTAGTTCACTATTAGAAAGAAAAGAACATCCTTTAGGTTTAATAAGTATGACTTGAGTATCATCCTCAAAGTTTAGCTCTTTCATGCTCTCTTGATTTTGTAAAATCATGCACATCTTTCCTTTTTCTTTGACCTTTTGTTTTTCTTGCTCATCTTTTTTTTTTTTTTGTGATAATTCATTCTCACTTGAGCTCTCAACCTCTCTTTTTCCTTCTTTTGAATTATCATTTTTCACTCCCTTACTCTCCTCTCTTTTTTTTCTTTCAAGTTTTTCTTTCAACTCTCCCATTTTTCTATATTCCTCTCCCACTTGAAAAGGAGAAAGAGGGTTAAGAATGTTCTTTTTACCATCCTTAACAAATGCATATTTATTGGACCTTCCATCATGTTTTACCCCTACATCATATTCCCTTGGCCTTCCCAACAATAGATGACAAGCTTGCATAGGTACAACATCACAAAGCACTTCATCATGGTAGCTTCCAATCTTGAACTTTATCAACACTTTCTTGGTCACCTTGAGTTCACCACATTCATTGAGCCATTGCAACCTAATAAAGTTTTGGATACCTTCTTGTTGGAAGTTTCAATTGTTCCACCATAGATACACTAGCAACATTTGCACAACTTCCACTATCAATGATAAAGAAACATAATTGCTCTTGAACCCTACACCAATTATGAAACAAATTTTTCCTTTGATCAAGATCTTCCCTCACTAGAGTACTCATACTCCTCCTTACAACAAGAACACGTTTTCCATCATCATTAATTTCTTCTCCATCCCCTTCTCGCATAAATTCATCACTACTATCATCCTCTCTATGGTCATCCTTAGATTCATCTTCCGTTTGATAACCACCATCATTCAATGCAATGATAGTTCTTCTATTAGGGAATTCATTTGATTTATGTCCATATCCTTGACATTTAAAACACTTTATTTTAGATGGAGTTTCAAGTTTAGATTTGTTACCTAAATCCTTGTAGTCCATCTTTGGTTTGGCTTTGTCAAAATTGGACTTGAAGTCCTGCTTTACACCTTTGGAGTTGTCCCAAGTAGGAGATGATTTCCAAACTTCTTTATTTTTTGCCCATGAAGAAGAAGATTGCACTCTTGGTTTGTTTTCCTTTTGATGTCCCTCCACCTTGAGTGCCATTTGATAAGCTTCATATAAAGTAGGAAGACGATGCAAATCCAATGGTTGCCTTACATCTTTATTTAAGCCCGAGATAAATCTTGCCACAAGATTCATCTCTCCATCATTGACATTAGCTCGAAGCCTAGTATGCTCTAGCTCCTCATAATACCCTTCCATACTCTTGCTTCCTTGTTGAAGATTGTAATATTTTTTGAGTGTATCTTGTTCATAATTTTGACCCACGAATCTTTCTCTCATTCTTCTTCTCATGTCATTCCAATTTGTAACAAAATTTCTATTCACCAAAGCATCCCTTTCAATTTTCTCCCAGCATGTAGAAGCAAAACCCTCAAGGTGACTTATAGCATAATTCCTTTTTTTAACATCGCTCACATTGTTGAGATTATATTGTCTTTCAAGCTTCACTATCCAATCAAGGTATTCATTTGGGTCACTACTTCCTTTGAAAAATGGAAGTGTATCCTTGATGTTGTTGAATCCTAGATCTTCATCATCATTCTTTCGATTATATTCTCTACCATCAACCGGATGCCAACCGAGTCGGTTTTTTCTCTTTTAGCGACGAACTGAGTCGGTTTTTTCTGATTTTTTTTTTAAAAAGTGAAGGACTGCGTCGCTTTATTTTAATTTTAATTTTTTTTTAATTTCTAAAGGGCGACACAGTCCGTCGCTTTTCTGGAAATTTTATTTTTGAAAATCCCAGAAAAGCGACGGATAAAAGGACACTGTCCGTCGCTTTTCTGGAAATTTTATTTTTAAAAACCCAAAAAAGCGACGGACTAAACCACGTTGTCCATCGCTTTTCTGCAATATTTTTAACAGCAGAAATTGGCAGTTTCTGTTGCCCACCTGCAAATGCAATTCAATTCAATTCTATACTATTCAGCCCAATCAAACACACAATTATAAACAATCTAAACAATACATAAAACAACAAACTTAAAATAACATTCAAAAGTATCTAAATCATAAATTAAAGACTTATAAAGTCTTTTAAAATTCGTTTTAAAATTTCAAAAAGTTCATAAATGTCCAGAGATCTAAACTAGGGAGTGAGATCTACATAATCATCCTCATCACTCTCGTCGTCGGTGTCATCAGGAGCCGAAGTAGTAGGTCGACGAGCGAGGTTCATCACTTCTTCTTTGATTTGTTGAACGGTCTCACTCATGCTTTCTTGTTCAGCTACTTTTCTTCGCTCCGACTCTGCTAGTGCCGCTGTAAGTTTAGCTATTTGATCCGACATAGCAGCAATCTGAACACCATCAAGTGCCTCGGCTTGACGTGACGATCCAATACCTTCTAAGCCTGATTGAATGCGTCTAACATCGTTTCGAGAGCCTAGACCATAGCATCTGCCCTTGTGTGTCCCCCCTACCACTTTTTCTTTCCAAATCTGAGTGGACAGTTCAGGTGTCAATTGAACCGAACTATCTAGATTCTCAGCGACGTACTTATGAAAGTCATTTTGCATATTAAATATAAAAATTGACATCAATATATATACATATCATAAATATATTCACTATTGATATATATTATTCATATTAAATAACTTACAAAAGTTCGTTCGGCCCTTTCCTCCACCCACACATCCGAATCCGACTCATTTTCTTTCTTCATGACATGAGTCTTTTTGAAAACCTCTGGTTCAATGGGAGTGCGTCCCAATTTTTTTTCCTATAAATAAAAACTGAAATTTATAACGATATATATGTATCAACTAATTATTTATTTAAAAGTTTGAATTAGAACTTACCATCTCTCGTGCAATTGTTCCAACCGTCTTTGCACCTCTGGTGTGCAACGAGCCACCTTTAAGACTGCCTCTAGCATTTTGGCTTGATCTGATATTGCCTTAAACGTTCACCACTATCTCGAACGCTCTTTAGCCAGCTAGACAGTCTGGTGGATGCCTTCCTTTCAAATGTGGTCCCAATGACCAAATTGTACCTCGACTCCCAAGTACACATAGTCTGAAAAAAATTTGAATAATGTTAATTAAATCGATAGTAAAAAAAAGTAAAGTATACTAAACTTAACTAAAAAATATATACCTTAAAGTTATTAAACATCGCCTGGCGTATACTGTTTGGAATCTCGCTCCAAGAGTGATAAGCTTGTGTATAGAGTCTTCTAACACACTATTTTAAAGCCCGGGCAACATCCTTTGCAGGATACCACCTGCAAAACACATAATAAATATGTTAGTTCACGAATAATATATTAAAGTATAAGAAATAAAGAAAATAAACTAACAAATAGATAACAAAACAAACTTACAATGATCGATCCGGTTTAATCATGACTCTACCAAGTCTGTCATTCTGGCCAGGAGCTAGAGCAGACATCGTATCATGTGGTGTAGCACTAGGTACAACTGTAGACGAGGGTGATACATCAGGATGCACAAAACGCTGAGTCAATGGAGGTGTACTGGCCATAGCATCTGACTGCTCGCTACTAGAATCTCCAAGCCTCATGGCAGATAACTGAGGAGATGTACCTGTGAGAGATGGAGTACCTGCCGATAAGGGTCGTGCTCGACGAATAGCCTGTAAAGGTAGGTCCTCATAGCGTCGTGAAGGCAATGCATGTAAAGTAGATGAAGCACCAACTGGTCGACGATAATTAGGATAATATTGTCAAGGATCCGCCATACCAAACGGAATAGAAAATAAATGAGTATCATGGCTGATGCGCTCTGGCGCAGAAGAAATAGATCCTGCAATATCCTCAGGATCTATCGGTCTCCTAGACTTCTTCTTCTTAGCCTGTTTAGTCTGGCCAACTCCAAGATTCCCGCGATGTCTATCACCGTCACCGCCTGATTACATCTGTATGCAAATTTACATGTATAATATATATAAAAATCATAAATTAAATAAAATTAGTAAAATACACTTACATATGTACTAACTAGCTTTCATTCTACACTATTCCTCCTCGCTTGTTTCAATTCCATCATTCTCCCATTCTTCCTCCTAAGTTGTTTCATTTTCATTATCGTCCCATTCTTCGTCATCAAATGATTCATTTTCCTCATTCTCGGATATTTCTTCCTCAACATTCAATATCTCATCATCAGATACTTCTTCTAATATGTGTTGAGGATGTTGTAGTGTGGTTTCCAATTCAACATCAACTTGTTGTTGAACAATTGCAACATCATTTTGATATGCCACATCTAAGACTTTGTCAATTTCAATTCTTCCCACAAGCTTACTTTTTATAACAACCCACCAATCAGCTTTGTCTCTACGCAATGGATATAAAGTGTAATACACTTGTTTAGCATGTTGTGCAATAATAAAAAGATCATAACTTTGGTATTTCCTGGTGTGCTTAACTTCAATTATATATGTTGATGGTCCACCTTTGTGCCTCTATGTGATGGGTCAAACCATTCACATCGAAACAATACAATTTTCTTATTAGGCCAACCTGAATACCTCACTTCAATAATCTCTTGAATGACTCCATAATATTCAATAGTTTGACCAGTACCATCAACATCACATTGTATATAGACACCGCTATTATTTGTTTTCTTGTTCCTAGATATTTCTTCAGTTTGAAACTTAAAACCATTGACACAATACTTATTTATTGCCAGTACTTAAGATTCAGGTCCAAGGGCTACTTCTTTCACTAATTGCAAATGTTGGACACTTGAGTATTCATCGTAAACCTACGCGATTGTTATTTCAAGTAATATAATTTAGTATAACGTGAATATATTATTAAATACTTAGTGATTGCACACTTACATAGTTCCTCAGCCATTTGGAAAATTCTGTATAGATGGCTTCATTACCCCATGTGTTTACGAACAAGCTGATCATTTTACATTAAAGTATTTCGTTAGTTAATGATCACTTATTAGTATGTAATTTAAGAACATATTTTTAACACTTACTTGACATATGATTGAATCTCTGGACAATTAACCAAAATATGTGTCACAACTGATTGCATTTCCATATCAGTGAAGCCTCGCTTTCTACGCTTTTTAGATCCTCGACCATTTTGATTAAAAATTGAAATCGGTGGAAATAAAGGATCAATATCGCCTTCATCATTGCAATTGGGCCTGTTTCTCCTACATGACACATCATGACCAAAGTAATAAGAATAAAAATCACCTGTTTCTCTCCCAATATGACCTTGAACAAATGATCCTTCGATCCTTCCCCTTTGCTTAATCGTTTGCTTTGAACTACCAATTTTTCTGCATGCATATATGTATATATATATGTTAATATATAAAGGACTTGGCGAATATATATAACTTAGTGAATATTTCAAATTGATACCTCTCAAATGGATACATCCATCTTGTTTGAACCGGACCTCCGAGGCGGGCCTCTTGTACAAGGTGAATTGGAAGATGCTCTATCACATCAAAAAAATCACATGGAAATATCTTCTCCAACTTACTAGTAGTGACAAGAATATTTTCCTCCATCCTATCTAAACTACTCTCCAACAACTTTCCAGAACACAAATCTTTTAAAAAAAGACTTATCTCTGTGATTGGTTTTCATATCCTTTCGGGTAGATGGCTAAAAGCGATATGAATTAAAGTTTCCATGAACACATGACAATCATGACTTTTCATACCTATCAATTTTCCTTCATTCATATCTACCCGCTTTACTAAATTCGAAGCATAGCCCTCTGGCATCCTCAAATTTTTAACCCACTCAATAATTTCACGTTTCTCATCCAATGTGAATGAAAAGCTGGCTTTAGGCTTAACTATTTTACCATTCTGTAATTCCTGCAGCCATAAATCTTTTCTCCTACAATATTCCTTTATGTTCATTCTAGCTTTTGGATTGTCTTTTGTCTTACCCTTAACATCCATCACCGTGTTAAATAAATTGTCAAAGTAATGTTTTTCAATGTGCATCACATCTAGATTATGTCGTTGTCACGACCCAAGCCTAGGGCCTAGACGTGACCGGCGAATGGGGAACCCGAAGGAACCCCAAACAAGCCTCATAGCGTATCATTACACATCCTTGGTCGCGGAAGCAATTAAAATGACCATAAGCAATAAGCATAATCAAAGGGGGAAATCGGGACTAAGGGAGCAAGAGAAAAAAAGAAGAAATGATACATAAATACCATAGATGAGTCAAGCTCAAGCATAATACACAACTTGTCCAACACCACCTCTAAACATGAGTACTTAGCGGGGGCCAAGACAAACTACCGGGCTCACCCTCATAGTCAAAACATAAATAAAAAGAAAAGTCTTATACATAGCAAAAGATCATGAGCAACGTCCCCGGAATGGAGGACTCACCAATAACCTTGATAGGAAATCGTGTTAGCCACGCGGAGGAGGATGGTCAAGCGGTGCTCCGGTCCCTACATGGTGACATCATGTAGGCATAGAGTATGCGTTAGTACGTTTGAATGTACTAAGTATATGGGATGAAATGCAATGCTACAATAGATGGACATCATAGGAAAAATGCATAATCATACCCGATAGATAGCATATTAAAGAAATGATATGTATAATGATGCTTACATAAACATCATATTTAGTGGGACGTAGTACATGTGTGGTGAGTGACCATCAATATAGTATTTTCCAAGGCCTACCACCCCCTTGGAGAGGCGAAAGAGGTACAAACCCCTCAATGTGGTTACCCGGGCCTACCACCCCCCGAGCTAGGGACCAAGGTACAAACCCCTCGATGTGGTTATACGGGCCTACTACCCCCCGTACTAGGCAACCAAGGTACCAACCCCTTGATACGGTTACCCGAGCCTACAACCCCCCGAGCTAGGCTTGGTCGATTCACAACACTTATATAGAGAAAATCATATACATGTATCCATTTCATCATCATTTCAATGATTATATGACCATCCGACTCATAGGACGTACATTGGACATTCCATTTCCTAAGAATTCTATCAATGACATTTTATCAAACACATGGTGGGCTATTGTTCATGTAGATAAAATTATGTCTTTCAAGAGTACTAAGTCCAACCAATTCCGAAATACATATAAATCAGCCCACCAACAACATACATATATATGTCAACCTTCATAATTTGATCATGGAAGCATGAAAATCATAAACATCACATAATAATTCCATTTCATGATAATATGCAAAAATAGACCATAATAGAATGTGTAGTAGTAATTCCATAATTCAAGAGTTCATAAATGATCATAAGGACCCATAAACTTGAAGTAAAATAGAGGATAAATGGTTGGACTTGTGGAAAAGAAGGTTTCCACAATCAACCCACATACCTCAACTTTGGAGAATCCTTGATGAAGATTGGAATGGAGAATTGAAGCTTGAGATTGAGTCTTGAATCCGGAATTAGAGCTTGAGATCTTTGAATTTGGTTGAAGATCTTGGTGAAATTTTGAAGAGGGCTTAGAGAGTGTTTTTGAGTGTTTTGAAGCTAGAAAGAAATATAACTAAGTATGGGACATATCCTTTTTTATAAAAGAAAAACGTCCGCAGCCCGCTACAGTAACTTAGCTCTCTGGAAATTGCAATTCTGCCCGGACAGGTTTTACGAAAATGATCATAACTCCTTCATCCTAACTCGGAATGAGGTGAAACCAATTGCATTGGAAAGCTAACTCAAAGGGCTTTAATTTAATAGGTGGTGGCCCTTCCAGTTCCTTGTGTGCTAAGAGATATTCCCCTTTAAAGTTGACCCTCCAAATCGCATTTTTTGCGATTTTCGAATTTTGATACGGTTGCTCTAAAATTCGGGTTAGACCCATTTCCCACTCAATTTGACCCCCTGAATAAGAATATGAAGTCGAATTTCCGAAATCATGCACGAATTTTGAGATATATGGAAATTACAATTATAGGTGTTTCCGAAGCACATTTTCGGACATTTTTGGGGTCGTTTCAGTCGTAGCAGATTCTCCTACCAATACGGCAACTCCCAAAATATGCTTTGTTTGATCCAA